AATCTACCACAGGTTCCAAGTTTTACTTTTATAATAAATCCTTATCTACGAATAACAGTAGTGCTTGATGTAGGTATCGTTTACTGTCGAGATCACTGACTTTCTGAATGTGTTTAATAAAAATACTTACAAACGATAATATACAGTTATAAAATTGACGTGTGGACAAAACTGAAAGCATCAATCTTTGTGATTAAGCAAACCACCTATTCACCAGCAATCGTAGATAACCCATTTATGATTAGAAGTTTACTTCGACAACCGAATTCCGGGTGCATACATTTTCTTAGCATTTTTGCACTCATCAGCTAAGTATCGCTTGTGCAACATTGAGCAAAATGATCTTCCATTAGAGATCCAATGACATAGTTGTCACTACCAAGTCATTCGGTCTGTTGCCAACAGTCTATAAAATAGATGAGAACAAGGAAGAGTTATCGGATGGTGACTTGTACAGTGTTTCGAGGCTAAAATGGTTGGCAGATAGCTTTTAAACTTTTAATAACAAATATAGCGTGCACCATCATATGGGATCATTACTTCCACATTCCATACGGCATCGATAATAATTAATACAGCATTACGGTAGGAAATTGGCTAAAAATCTAGCCGTCAGTTAGTATAGGCAAACTAACTTATCATCAATTTCTTTACGCGTCTTAAACAGCACATGAATCGTTTCAGTATTGTAGGCCTTTCAAATATGGAAGCTAAATTCTAAACGATTTTGGGCCTTAGTAAGTAAAGTATATCCTTTATTGTTGTTCTATACAGATCACAGTAATTCTTATCAACCAAAAGAAAAACTAAAGGCTACGAGAACATACAAACTATTTTCTCTATGACTTTGGTAAAATTTGTCAGTTAACAGAATTTAAAACTGTAAATTTAGAGCTTTTACCGTGCGGGTACTTTTCATGGACAGGTTGAAATTCACCTTAAAATGCTTAGTGTTTCTCTGCATCCTGAACTTCCAGTATAGTTTAGTTATTAAAAAGACACCCCTATATATAGTCTTGGGAAAATGAAAGCATTTTTCATTGTTTTGTATTTGTTCTTTTATTTCCGTGCCTAAACAGTATTCTAATGCCACTGATTCATTTGTTAATTTATGCCACCTTGGATTACCCAACTACTTTAATTGGTGTAATTTAGCATCATTCGTGTTCATACTACAGACTTATGGGTTATATAGATATTACACTCATCAATCACCGAATGGAGTTCCATGACCAAAATCTACCTTTCAAGTGTGCAATCTGGCAAGTGCGTGACTTTGTAGTATAGTTCTGATTTTCGTAATGAAGGGTACTGGCGTAATTTTCCTGAAAGTTGTAAATACCATTTTCTTATGGGTATCGACTGGCACCAAATCTAGGTTCAACGCATCTTCCGAATGGAATTCAAATGCCTAGAACGAAGCATTTGTGCAAATATTATTTCTGTGCATTACTACGCCATAACAGTGTGATTGTTTGATGTAAATATATCTATATTCCTCACTTTGTGGATAATATACAAGCATATCACATTTTTACGAAGATATTTTAAACTGAGTGCATCTGTGGCATTCACTTCGATTTTCAACTCAAAATTTCAATGATTTACCAATATTTCCAGGAGCCTGGACAGATAACATGTACACGCATGTCTACGTACCGGGTATTAAGAAAATACTAGCAAGAATTATTAAATGTCATCAAGCACTCATCCGAAAGCTATGATCTCAAGTTTCGTGCTTGTTCGCTCTCGTTAAAATATTGCATACGCAACCCAGAAAGCATACATCCGTAGCTGCAGTCGTAGTCTGTATCCCTTACATTATCTTTCAGAGAAATAATACTGTTCCTATTCGAGTTGGTTGACAACTAGTGATTAGTGAATACAACTAATATTATTCAATTCCATATCGTAGACGGTCATGATTTTGGTAGTAGCCCATCATAATCGATGCATAATGGTAGTTCTGCAATAACAATGACTTTATTATTAGTACTGGCAGAATATGACGTGCACACAACTTGGTAAACGGAAGAAGAATTTTATGCGAATCAAGGAAATCTTTTTGTCATCTACTCTTCATTTATCTAAGTTCTTCTTGTATATATATATACTTGATAAATAGTCTATTTTGCTCCTGTTTTTGCTTTCTGCGAAACAACTCCCCACCCCCTACATTCACATACACTCCCTTTTCTCTGTCTTTGAGTTGCATAAAATTCTGTATTGCTCATTTTCTCATTGTGTCCTGTCAATAAAATATGAAGCGCATTACTCAAGTATTTCTGCATCAGTACTCATATATAGGGAGAGAGGGATCCATAAAAGCATCTTCATGCTGTTAAGTAATCTTTTGTCTTCTTCTATTTAGTTATCTAACTCCACTGTCTTTTTCACTCACTGAGTCTCTCTCTCTCTCTCTGTTGTTGTACTTAGCGAAGAAGTATTTCATTGATTTTTCATTTTATTTAAGCGCAAGCGAGTGATATTGAGCAGTGTAATCCTACTACTAACTTTCACTACCATATTGTATACTTCAGCATGATTATTACTATTAGTGCCATAATTCTCAACTCTATCATTTGTCCGTGTTGTGACATGATTTTTGGTCTGCAATCTGTCTGCTGCATACATGCATCAATCTATCTACCTCTCGTATGACGTTTTCAAGCTTTTCGCATAATTGTTCTTCCATTTTTGTGTAGTTAATATCTTGAAGAAAGAGATGTGATTTGATTTGTGAATCAATGGTCACTATCTTTCACATTATGATTGAAATTATCATCAATAATATGATGCTATGTTCTAGGAAAGATATATATATATATATATATATATATATATATATATATATATATATATATATATATATATATATATATATATATATATATGTTTACCTTTTTTATATGATGATTGATTCCTCAATTGGATTCATCCTATCCTCTTTCTCACCTTTGTTCATTTTCTGTGACGGTGTATGTATGTGTTTGCGTACATGAGTATTTTTCCCTTACTAAGACTCGTTCGTTTCTCACTTTCTTTCTCTCTAATGTTCTAGGCATTTTTTGTTTTACTCTCCTATGGAGATGACGATGGTGAACAATCGATGTTTTTGTGATTAGGACAAAGTATTGAAGAAGAAAAGAAAAGAAAATAAAGCATTTTTACTCACTACATAGTTTTATTTTGTAAGGAGAAAAAAAAATTCATCTGTAATGTATACAAAGGAGACTGAAGTCTCTTAAAAGCCTATACATTTCATATTAAGTTAATTTAGTGTTTTACGAGTTGTAAGCCAGATTGAAGCTGGTGAAAACAAAGAAGTAAAGATTGAAGCAAGGAAGGAAAGAAGGCGTTTTTAAACATATTTAATTTTCAACCTGCTTCATGGTAGATCGCTTCTATGTTGTTTCAGAGTACACTACTCAACTTCATATGTTCTAGTTTGACGAATTCATAAACTAAATATTTCCTCTTAAAGCTTCATATACTTTAAACAAATAAGTTGTATTTTCATCATCCGATTGGGATTTCAGCCTCTATGGTACTAGTACGTGTAAGCCATATGATCGATTAGTTGAATTGGTTTCTCTTCCTACCCTGTTAGGGTCAACGTAGTCCCTGCAAAATATCCCAGTGATTTATTGGAAGAATTCTCAAACTAACTGATTAATTTCCACTTTGTTCACTTATATGTTATTATTCCATATTAGATTTGTTTATTTGATATAAAGCGCATAGTGATACAGTATTATTTACCTGATTACGTTTCGAGCATAAATTATTGCTCATAATCATATCAATGTTGCCTTGCATTGATATGATTATGAGCAATAATTTATGCTCGAAACGTAATCAGGTAAATAATACTGTATCACTGTGCGCTTTATATCAAATAAACAAATCTTATATGGAATTACATTCTACCACAGTGCCCAAGTTTTTCACTTATATATGTTATTATCTTTAGTACAATCTTTTCAATATAACGTATATTCTTCTTAAACATGATATTATTACTAATGAAGTAGGTTGTTGATACGTGAATAGTTTACTTTATTTACTGTACTAGTCATTCTATTTTTACTCCTAACTAGGTGACTGTAACTCAAATGTCAGTTTGTAAGTAATCATTGGTTTTTGAGTTTATTTTTCATCACGGATCGATATCCTTTGAAGAACCATTGAACGTTTAGGAACAAGAGACAGCTGTTTCGTCTTACTGAATGCGCACTACGAGGGAGTCCTAGACTAAGACGAAAAAGCTGTTTAATGTTGTCAGGCCTTCACTGCTTCTCACCAGATGGCAGTTCATGATGAAAAGTACCTTGAATGCAACTCTGCTATTCTATATAGGTTTGAAAAATAGACCAAGAATCACACATAAACTGGAAAGGTTTATCCGTGCTATACTGTTCTACATGTCGAAGTAGGTAGATTAGGTTTAAACCTGATTCGTAGTTCAGTGTTTGGATCACAGTCACATCAGCGTAAATTGCCTATTTGGTTTTGATTAGTGGTATAGTGTTGTAGAGCTATAATGTTTTTGTGCTGTTGCTCAGCATGATAGCTTATATCACTTCATTTCTGAGTGAGGTTTTACTTTCTTTCACCCAGCTTATGGATTGAGCTTCTCTAGGCGAAAAGACTTGTTTAACTGAATACAGTTACTAAAAACTAATCACAATACTGTTATGTGCTATGCTTTGTGTCTATATTCTCTAAAATGACTTTCTTCTACCTAACACTTATTCTACATACCTTTATCATCCAATGTAATTGTATGAAAAGATATATTGAATTTTATCATCATACACATATCTGTTGACAGCTCTACATGTCTACCCCCATCTTGTAATGCAAGAAGTAGAATTATACAAGAAAACCCCAGAAACCGCTAGCTCAAATCTTGCTGTGGCCCAGATTTCCATTTCACCTCCAATTATCACTCAGTATTAAAACTTGTATCAATTGTACAGCAGTCTTTTACTACTGTTATGAAAGAAGTTAGTGTGCCTTTTTAAAATGTAACTAATTGGCTCATGTGGACATAATTCCTTTTAACTTGAAATTCATATTCGTTTATCAACTTTTGAAAAAAGCATAACATTCATCACTCAGTAACAGTTATTATTATTACTATTATTACTATCAAACACCTAAGTATATAGTCAATTTTGATTTAATTCTCATAAAGAACTTCTGTTTATAAACTGTAATCGCCGTGTCCAGCATGAACTACATTGACCTTGACTACTGCCGTTAAAATTCTCTCTCTTTGCTTATGAATGAAATTTCCTTGAATTTATGCTTCGGTGCTTCGGTTTCGAAAAAAGATGCACTAATGCTTGGGTAAATTTTTCGTATGTCTTTTCTAGCCCCTTCGAACATGATATAAGCGATAGTCTACTTCTTATTGCTTCGCAGCTGTGATTATTGTCCGTCGAAAATGTTGGATATGAAAAATATACAAATAGTCCACCATAGGTTACGGAACTAAGTAAGCAAAGTGGAGGTGAGGTATGAAGACATCTAGTTGATGTAGTAAGAAAGAAACCTGCACAAGGCAATATATAAACTTGCAAGATTTTTCATTGCTAGTCCAAGTGATGTTTTGCAGTATAGGCGCCTTCACCGAAGTCTTCAAAACTGTAGGAGCGATCGGTCCAAAATCCCAGGTAACATAACTCCTTCAAATCTTAAACCTCCTCCTGTTCTACAGTTGTTTTAATCAGGTTTATGCATTTCTTTGATCTAATTTAAAGTCATTCTACTTAAATCGATTTTTTTCTTTCTATAATGTTGCAAAGTTGACTCATTTGAACCAATATACTGTTGCGTGAATTTTTTAAAAAGAATTATCTTTCTGTCTTTTACGCACTTTTGAGGAATTATTTTTTCCGCAAGGTTTTAACCATGAGAGTCATATAAATATTATTAAATGTTGTATCAGAAAAATCAAATTGTTTATCCAAGTAGTTATCTAGGAAATTTTAATTTAGACAGTAACTTTACAAGGCGACCTGTTTGAACTTTGGGCTACCTCATTTTATCATGAAACATATTGCATCAAATTTCTTCTTTCTACATTGTTTAAATTATTATTCATTTATGTTATCTAATCGTACTATATACTCTCGCGGATTTTTGAAATCGTAACGACCTATTGCTTTACAAGTTGATAACCAAATTAAGGAAAAGGACCTCGGTTGATAGCAACGGGCTCTCAAGCGCTTGACTATTCTAGAAATTACAAAACCCACTTATCACTTTCACAACAATAAATAATCTTTGACCAATAGTTTAAGTAACAATGTAAAATTGTTCACATAAATATCCTTTGCATAAGTTGTTATACTACAACTATTTGAAATGTTGTAAAGGAGTATATATATATATATATATATATATATATATATATATATATATATATATATATATATATATATATATATATAATAGGAATAATGTGCTAATTATTCACTCTTTCATCAATATACTTCTGACTCTTACTTGCTTTTTTGAAATATTTTAAAGTAACACAAAGCTGATTTCTCATTATGTAGGATATATTTGTCTCCCTCTGTCATCCAGCTTCCGCTCGCGTCGCTAGAATATTCCTAGAATTTTATATGTAAAGAATCTGGTCATTACTTCTTAGAACTCTAATCGTGTGATTTCGATTGTGTAACATCAATGATATTTTTCTTTTGACCGATAGTTTTCTGTTGAATTTATTCAGACCTCTTATCACTTGTTTATTCTGTTATTTAATTTGTTTAATCTGTAAGCAGCTGGTGGAAAACACTTAAATATAGTGGGTCCATGCTACTCTGCAAAAGTGTTATTCTCATTCTCTTTCAATTTGTTAGGGAAATAATTGTATAGAGCTTTAAATAGCTATAGGATTGATTATTGTGTTACTATGATTCTTTATTTCTCTTATATCAACAATATTTATTGATGGATATGTTAAGGTTTATTATTTATTAGATACATATTAACAGGTAAGCTCATATTGATAATAATACTAATTTTAATAATTTTTAATCGGCCACTTCCCCCCTCTCTCTCTCTCTCTCTCTCCCCGTCATCGTCGCTGAATCATCAACAATATCCTTTAAATACATTCGAAATTTGATCTCATAAAAGTTGCATATTAGTCTCAGATAACCATATTGATACAGTCTCAGAAATAATTGGTGAGCGTTTTTACAAACTCTATGTTAAGTACACTTATGTAGAGTTAGTTGGTTGCACTTTTCTACTAACAGTCTTTATTGTTATTTATGTATCAGGTCTCTAGTAGTGGATTGTGTCTACAAGTTGCTTCAGATCTACTCCAACTAACAAGTCGTGATCAAACTTATTCACTGGAGTTAGAACTCGACACTACTATAAACATAGAAACTACCACAGCTGAATTTAATCGCCGCACAAAAGTAAGTCTCTGATTATACTCCATATCATTAATGTAAGTATAATTCAAAATTCGACTAGTTTATATCATGTAGCACACAATGATACGGTACTATTCCGGATTTTTATAAGAAAAGAGTATAGGTGCTGCGTCGAAGAAACTTTAAGAATGGATACGAAATCCTAGGATAATCATGATCTAAGTGTCTAAGCATTTGAAGTATTGTTATCAATTCTGGTTTATCATTCATGATGCCTAGAGTTTATTACTCAGCCTGTGGTCTGTGGAGTACATGAGTTAGTGTGATGTTTTGAATTGATCAGCCCAAGAATTCCTCCATCTTACTCCCACTTCGGATAACTCTTTACCTTGAAATCTCACCATTTCACCAGTGGCTTTATGTTTCAGGAAAATGCTACCCATTAATGATGTGTGAAGACTAATCTATTCTTCTTACTTTCTAATCAAAATCAAAATGATGAAATTGATCTGAACTCCAAAAAACCTCAAAGCATTCACCTGGCTTCAACACTGCTCACACAGTGGTTCCGCCAAACACGAGAGCCATGCTACCAAGATTATTACCATATTATTGATCCCTTGGGTTCCTAGTGGAAAATATGGCTTCATCAGCACGTCTCCACTCCACTCTCTTCTCTGCAATCTTTTGAACCTGCCTCCACGACTGCCCGGCAGCTCTCATTTCTTCTTCACACGATCCCCTACATTTCACCCTCCGACGCCCAACTCGCCGTTTCTCATTCTCGGTTCCACTCGAGAGCCTGGTGTGTGATGTCCCCGAACGGTCTTCTCAGTGCATATCCAATTCATCTCCATTTCCATTTGCATATTTGTTGAGCGATAGGTTCTTGGTTGGTTCGCTGCCAGCCAGCCAGAGTTCCTTGTTACTTATTCTTCCTGGCCATCTGAGCTTCAGTAACGAGCGTAGGCAGTTATTGATGAATATCTATGATCAAAACCCAGTAGTCGATTTGTCTCTTCCACTTTTAACGGCCATCCCTCACTGCCTTACAATAGGACAGAATGGGCTGCAGCGCACTACACTATTCCTCGGATACATACACAGATGATGCAACCTGACAAATTCCAAATGCGCCTTCTGTATCCCATCTAAGATTTCGTCAGCAACAAGCCTGTTCAGGCTGATGCAACTCCGCAAGCAAGTGAAGTGATCAACACATTGCACCATTCCACTCACTCCTTATCATTAAACTGAGAGTACTTTCAGCAGACCAGTCCTGCAACACCATCTTACATTTACATTTGACAGGTATCAGTGAAATGCACGCGAAAAATACTCAGATTTCTACGCAACGCGTCTAGAAGATCCTGCATTATGTCAGCGTCTTCACCAAGTCGACCAGATGACCTTCAGGGAATAGATTTGTCCCTATGAAGTCAGACGTACCTAAGGTTATGTCCATCATTGCATCTTTAAGGAAGTTGAACAGGGGCAGCGACAGTGAACATCCCTGGCGAAGACCACTAGTTGTCGTCAATTCCCATGACAACTATCTTATCAGCCCTTAAACGGCTGCACGAGTTCGGGTAGACAGCATTGTATACTTTTTCGGTACTCCCTTCATAATGATGAAACACTCTCACAACACTTCAGGATCAACAGAGTTAAATGGAGTTTTCAGGTCAAGAGATATGGCAAGTATTGGTCACTGGTCGGTAAATATGCCTATGTTTCAGAACATGTCGGCAGGTTAAAATATGATCGATGCATCCTCATCCAGATCTGAAACCTGACTGACTGACTGACTGACAAAATCAACGTCAGTCTGCAACCTTCCTGGTTTTTTCGAGCTCCAGTTAAAAAGGCGTCAGATAATCATGGACTGTAGGATCTTGACAGCTTTTAGTAGAATTTATCTTTTGCATCATCCGAGCCACAGTTGGAGATTATGAACTGCCATCGGTTGGTCTCATAATCCTTTCTGGTCCTTACAGATCCTTTCAGTTGAACAGCAAAGAGACTACTGTTTACTTGTATCCAGTAGAGAAGTGCTCTAGGACTCAATTCTATGCTTACACCAGCTAGTCCACGAGAGCTAACCAATAATGTGTCCTGATACTCTTAAGGTAAATTTTGAAGATTCACTACCATGGCTGCATGAGTTCAATTTAATAACCACACTCGTGTCCTGTATACGTGCCTCACAGACACAGCATACATCCATGGCTCTAGATTCTAGAGTTCTAGCGGTTGGTATCTTCTTTCCGATTTGTCGAACGTTGAAATATCCTTCATGAAATCGGTGGCGAGTTCTTAGGAGACTAGTTGCGATGATTCGATGGCTTTGATTGTTGACAAAGGTTGCAGAATGGGAGGCTGGGTAATAGACGTAATAGGCCTAGTGTTAGTATCCGGAGGTGAAGGCAAAAGAGAAAACAGAGTTGTAGAGGATAGGTTATGTTTGATTAGGTCTTGTGTATTACTAGAAGCGTGTAGGTGTTCACACTTCCCGACTATCCACACCGTGAAAAGCTATTTCTTCTTAAGATGCCTGAAAGAGAAAAGGATTTGTGTTACCACAGAGCCTATGGGGTATATGGTTGAGGCATGTCACACGTCTTGGTTGCATTGTGTTCTCTTAGCTGGATTGTTTAATCGTGAAGCTTTTATCGCCTTGCTAGACGACATCATCAGCACTAACTTCAGTATGAAGTGAGCTGTCAATATCTCTCCGTGAGTGATTTAGTTGCTTGCTCTGACGATGTGGTCTGTGATTGGTTGTTTCCTTTGATTGTTGTGTCATTGGCTGTATAGATTTTCTTGTTGGTCGTTCCTCTGCTTGATCTCTGACCTTTCTGTCGTTTATCATTTTTCTCATTGGTTGATAGATCGGGTCTATGTCTATACATCTATTGATTGCTGACTGACCTGAATGCCAAGCTTCTAGAAATTCTCTGACATTTTTTGTGTTTCCTCTGTCCAAAATTTCTACATTGTCGAAATTGAATTCATGTCCATAATTATGCACGTGTATTGAAATGAGTGACGAAATGTCGTGACGTTTAATAGCCAATTGGTGTTCATGTAGACGAAGGCGAAGAGGGCGGCCGCTTTGTCCAATGTAGTGCTGACTACAGTTATTGCAGTTGATTTTGTAAATGATATTCGGTTTGTCTTCTTTGCTTGTTGCATCCTTTGGTCTGCATAATAGTGTTTGGAGGGAATTTGTTGGTTTATGAGCCACACTACTTCCAAGTGGCCTCAGCAATCTTGTCGTGATTTCTGATACATTCTTTATGTATGGTAGGATGATGTGTTTGTTGATTTCTGCCGATGACTTTGTAGTTGGTGATGCACGGGATAAGCATCTTCTGATAAAGTTTTGTGGGTAGCCGTTCTTCTTTGAGGTGGACATCAAGTAATTTTCTTCGTTTCTCCGTGAAGTTGTTGTGCTGCAGTGTGTTCTTGCTCTTCTGAATAGAGTCTGCATGCAACTGATTTTGTGTATTGTTGGGTTGTTGCTATTGTAGTTGAGGATTTGGCCAGTGTGTGTTGGCTTCCTGTACACTTGGGTTTCCAGCTTTCCGGCATCTCCCCTACTGACTAAAACATCCAGGAATGGTAGTTGGTTGTTTGACTTTATCTCCATTGGGAATTTGATGTCATTGAAAACCTTGTTGATCAAACTGTGGGCGTTTTCTTTATCATCCTTTTTAATGTTGACAAAAGTGTCGTCTACATAACGAATTCAAATTTTTGGTTTGATCACATGTAGAATGATTGCTTTCAGTCTCTGCATCACTGCTTCTGCTATTAATCCGGTATCAATGATCCCATTGGAGTTCCTTTCATCTGTTTGTATATCTTGCCGTTGAATTGGAAGTATGTTGTCAGACAAAGGTCGATGAGTTTCATCAGACTTGAACATTTGAGTTTTGTGCGTTCTGAAAGGTTTCTGTCTTCATTGATCAGGAGGGATATCATTTCCCTGGCCAATTTACGTTCGATTGATGTGTATAGTGTTGTAACATCGAAGGATATCATTAATTCATCGTTTTCTATATAAATATTTTTGATCTTGTCTAAGAATTCTGTTGGTGACTTGATGGAATGTCTACATGATTGAACGAGGTGTTTCAGTTTTCTCGAAAGTTTTCTTGATGTGTTGTATGTTGGAGTTCCCGGAAGTGATGTCGTCTAGCAAGACTATGAAAGCTTCACGATTAAACAACCCAGCTGAGAGAACACAATACGACCAAAAACATCCACCTGAGCTACAAATATTCTCCATTGTGTCATACGCCACCCTTTGCGGGATGTTATTTGAGGTTTGGTTGTTCTAACCCTGAATAGCGAAAATGCATACCTCCGGTATCTGATAACCGTTGGCAGGAAAGAGTGTGCTTTTCTGAGGCTGACCTTTTCTAATTCTCCCCCTTCTTGTTAAGAAGGCAGCATCAGCAAGGTCATCCAAGGAAATACCTTACTGCTAACTCACCCCATCCAGCTAGCAGCAGTACGACGTCGCCCTCAGACCCCAATCACAGTGTAGTAATTTACATTACAACGGTAACTGCTTTTCGTCTTACCACTATCCAAGAGACGTTTTTGGCATGGTTGGAACCAGAGTGAACAAGCTTTTCACCAACATATCTCTTTGGATCATCGTGATATGCAAGCTCGACCACATCAAAGTATCAGCTATCGGTTGGGGACCAGTGTACCAATCTGAACTCGAGAAAGATACTTAGTACGCTGATGACTTATTTATTTTTAAAAAGTCTATTCAAAAGCTCAGTCATTACAATGCATGCGATTACACATGACCACGAAATAAGGATCAGAATGACAGCTCTTAAAACTAACTTATTGAGGTGGAGGAAGATATTGATACGTGAAGCTTTAATATAATCATTCAACTTGGGCATTGCAGAAGAATGTGATTGCATATTGAATATGTATATTTGATATAACCCACAGTGATACAGTATTATTTACTTGATTACGTTTTGAACATAAATGGTTGCTCATAATCGTAATAAGGTAATCACACAACTTTTGACGTATGTTTTTCATTTTCCCCTCACCTCATTTTTCTTTTGTGGTAGTAAAATTTTGCAAATCTTCTATGTAGGTGTTGCATCATTTCTGTTACATGTGTTGGGTGCTGATTCCATGGACGA